AGGGGCTATGGAGCAGGTGGCTCCACGGTCAGTTTCTCCCACCATTTTGGCAGGAGTGGCTCACGAAGTCGCGCCTATCCCTTCTTCACCAGTAACTAGGGATGGGCGTCTCTGTGGGGAGCACTCACCTAGGGAGAGGACTACAGAGGAGCTCATTTCCTTTGGCGGGATCCCGGATCCGGTAGCGTCTAGCAGGCATGTCAGCAACCGGATCCAGGAACAACCTGATGCTGATGACCTGCAGTTAGCGCGCGCCAAGAGGGCGGCCATGCTTCGAGATGTTGAGGCAACTACAGGTATGTCTTTTGATACAAGTTGTTCAATTATGCATTTCTCTTAGCATGAAATTATTGATAAAGCAAATAACTTAGGAATAGCTTTGGGTTCAAATGATAAGGAGGTAGCGAAATCTGTTAACGATCTTTTGGATTTAGAAGCAGAACGGGCCTCGGAAATAATTAGAAACCTTGCATCACTTAAACCTATGAATGAGGATGACATGAACAACATAGGAATTGTAGCCCTTGAGAACATTTGCAATAATCTTTTACCTAGTGATGATGCCGAGGATGAGGAGGGATCCGACATTATGGACACTGCAGAGACTCTAGTGATAAAGGTCACTGTCTCGTGTCCTGTTGAGCATACGGTTCCGGAGGGTGCTGGGGAGAAGCCTAAGCGATCCTGGAAATGAAAAATGTATCCTACTTCCGCGGTTTGTAGAAGCACTAGGGTTAAGCTGAAGAAAAAATTCCATGATGACTTACGAAAGGAATCTTTTGGAATAGCAGAGGTCTAGCTGACTTGGCTAAACAAAGGTTCTTGGCGGAAACAATGGTAGGGCAACAATTAGATTTTATTGCACTTTTGGAAACACGACGAGATAATTTTACTTCATAATTTCTTGGAACTTTATCCGGAGGAGTTGATTTCGATTGGCATGTCTTACCTCCTAGAGGAAGATCTGGTGGGATCTTACTAGGGGTTCGATGTGAAACACTTGAGGTCCTTAACGTGGTTCGGGGAGATTTTACGGTTAAGTTTCGGGTGAGATCAAAATTGGATGGGTTCCGATGGTCTCTTGTGGCTGTATATGGGGCAGCACAACCTGAACTTAAACCAGATTTCTTGGCTGACTTGGTGCGGATTTGTGGAGATGAGAATCTACCAATCCTAGCCGGTGGTGATTTCAATATAATTCGGAGGAGAGATGAAAAGAACAATGACAATTTTGATGGTCGGTGGGCTATGATGTTTAATATGATTATTGAGAGTCTTAATTTGAGAGAAATCGAACTCACCGGTAGACAATTTACTTGGGCCAACTCGTTGCCCACTCCAACTTATGAGAAGTTGGATAGGGTACTTGCTAGTGTGGAATGGGAACAAAAATATCCTTTGGTGTCGGTCCATGCGATGCAAAGAGCGATCTCGGACCATACACCATTGCTTGTAGATTCAGGAGAGGCTACGCATATTGCAAACAAGAATGCTTTCTCTTTCGAACTTGGTTGGTTCGAGAAAGAAAACTTTTTGGAGATTATTGCACGCGAATGGGCCATTCCTGTTAGTGGAAGCACTAGTCTTGAGAGGTGGCAAAATAAGATCCAACATTTGAGACCGTTCTTACGAGGTTGGGCCAGAAATGAGAGTGGGATTTACAAACAAGAAAAAGAGCGACTTACTCGTTTGATCGAAGCTTTGGATTTAAAAGTTGAAACTAATCTGCTTATGGTAAATGAGCAAAGTTCCAAGTCTGAAGCTGAGCAAGGCTTACGAGCTCTTCTTAGAGAGGAGGAGCTCAAATGGGCACTGCATTCCAAAGTGCTTAAAGTTGTCCAAGAGGATGACAATACACAATTTTTCCATATGATTGCGAATGGCAAACATAGGAAGAAGAAAATCATTCAGCTTGAACAAGACGAGGGGACAATTTTGGGGCATGAGAATCTGAAAGCTTATATCTCTAACTATTATAAACAACTGTTTGGTCATCCGAAAGCTAGTACGGTGACCCTAAACGAAAATGTGATTGGAGATATCCCTCAGCTCCAGGTAGAAGAGAACGATATTTTAGCTGCATCGTTTATTGAGAAGGAGATTTTGGATGCAATCTCACAAATGAAATCGAATAAAGCACCGGGACCAGATGGGTTTCCAGCTGAATTCTATAAGAAATGTTGGCACATTATTAAAGATGATCTTATGCCTATGTTTCATGATTTCTTTAACGGTCATTTAGAGTTGTTTCATCTTAACTTTGGTATGATTACGTTATTGCCAAAGAAAGAAGAGGCAGTTCGGATTGAACAGTTCAGGCCAATTTGCCTTCTTAACGTGAGTTTAAAAATCTTCACAAAGGTAGGGACCAATAGATTGACACAGATCGCGCATTCAGTCGTACAACCGAGCCAAACAGCGTTCATGCCAGGGCGACATATACTGGAAGGGGTGGTCGTTTTGCATGAAACGTTACATGAAATCCATTCGAAGAAACTTGATGGGGTTATCTTCAAAGTGGATTTTGAGAAGGCGTATGATAAAGTAAAGTGGTCCTTCCTACAACAGACAATGCGCATGAAAGGATTTAGTGAGGTCTGGCGGAACCAAGTGGGTTCTCAAGTCCAGAAGGGTAGTGTCGGAATCAAGGTTAATGATGATATCGGTCATTATTTTCAGACACACAAGGGTTTGAGACAAGGAGATTATATGTCTCCTCTCCTGTTTAATATAGTGGCCGATATGTTAGCCATTCTCATTGGCAGGGACAAACATCATGGGCAAGTGGAGGGGTTAGTTCCTCATCTGGTTGATGGAGGAGTATCCATTCTACAGTATGCTGGCGACACTATCTTATGTATGGATCACGACATTGCTAAGGCACGTAATATGAATCTTATTTTATGCCTATTCGAACAGTTGTCTAGCTTAAAGATAAACTTCCACAAAAGTGAATTGTTCTGCTTTGGGAAGGCCAAAGACGAACAAGATACATATAGACAATTGTTTGGATGTGAATTGGGTTCTTTACCTTTTAGCTATTTGGGTATACCGATCCATCACCGTAAGTTATCTAATAAAGAATGGAAATGTATCGAAGATCAAATAGAGAAAAAGCTGAGTTGCTGGAAGGGTAAGCTCATGTCTTATGGAGGTCGGCTAGTGCTGATTAACTCAGTACTGACTAGTATGCCGATGTTCCTACTATCGTTCTTCGAAATTCCAAAAGGGGTACGAAAACGACTTGATTTCTTCAGATCTCGATTCTTCTGGCAGTCAGATGAGGCCAGGAGGAAATACCATCTCGCGCGATGGGACATTCTTTGTCGACCAAAAGACCAGGGCGGGCTCGGTATTGAGAACTTAGAGATCAAGAACAAATGCCTTATGGCAAATGGCTCTACCGGTTACAGACTGAGCCGGAGGGCATGTGGGCACAGATTTTGCGTAATAAATACCTACAGTCGAAAACACTAGCTCAGGTTACCATGAGACCAACCGACTCGCCATTCTGGAAAGGGCTCATGAGAGTGAAGGACTTGTTCTTTCGTAGGGTCAAATTCCTAGTTGGCAATGGGATGTCAATAAGGTTTTGGGAGGATACATGGTTAGAAGACACTCCCTTGGCCATCCAATATCCCACCCTGTATAACATTGTGCAACGTAAGGAGGATTACGTTGGCACCGTTCTACATACGAGTCCTTTGAATATCCAATTCAGACGAGCGTTAGTTGGTGAGCGTTGGAGTGCATGGATGCACTTGGTTCGGAGATTGATAGATGTTCAACTCTCCGACCAACCAGATTCGACGCAATGGAAACTAGCTAGGAATGGAGTTTTTACGGTAAAATCTTTTTATATGGATCTGGTTAATTCTGGCCCAATCTCGAGATCGTTGCATATTTGGAAGATTAAGGTTCCTTTGCGAATTAAAATCTTTATATGGTTTGTCCATGAACAAGTAATTCTTACAAAGGACAACTTAATCAAGAGGAGATGGGTAGGTAGTCCACGATGTTGTTTTTGTGATCGTGATGAAACAATACAACATTTATTTCTTGAGTGCCCACTCGCCAAATTATTGTGGAGATCGATTCATATAGCCTTTAACATCACTCCTCCAGTTGACATTACAACATTGTTTGGAACGTGGTTAACTGGGGTTGAACATATTACGGCGGCCCGTATTCGGATCGGAATATGTGCGCTTTTGTGGGCTATATGGAATTGCAGGAATGATTTGATATTTAACAGGCAAAACAATTTATCTTTCTTGTAGGTCATCTTCAGAGCTACTGCTTGGATCCGTACGTGGTCCTTACTCACTCCTATGGAATCCAGGGAGCCGTTGGTTACTGGGTGCATCCACTGGGAGATGGTAGCACAGGCTTTATTCAACCGGTTCGGATGGCGGTCGCATAACAGGATAGGAGTCTAGGGAGCTTATCCTTCTTTTTGCCATTCCGGTTATGTTTGTCGGCATGAACTTTGTTTCGGTTTTCTTTTCGCTCCACTTGCGAGCTGTAATACTTTGACGACTTTGTGTTACTTTGCGAACTTTTAATAAGATGGCTGCATGCATCCTTATGATGCAGAGGCCGGGGGTATACCTCCATTTCCAAAAAAAAAAATCCTGCAGATAAAAGTCTTCGAATAGTGGCATGATGGTATGCTAGCATGAACCTCCAGAATTTACTGTATATGTAAAGGGTCTGCATGTTGACTAGCAGACAGTTCTAACTTTCCAAGAGAAGTGTAAGGAAGCTCCTTACTGCCCAATGATAGCTTGTACTCTGGTATATTCTCAACAAGAAATGGTAAACTGGATACTACAGAACAATCTGGAAAAAAATTACAGAACTTGGAAATTATGTGTACAAAATAAAACCAAACAAAACCGATTGTCTATATTACATACCCAAATGAATTCCAGGAAGTTCCTGGATGTATATTTACACATAGAAGTACATATATGACTAGCAGTTTTCCCTGGGACAGCCTACAGCTTGAGGATTATAGTCCTCCCGTGCGGATGGCAAAATGAGAACGCAACACTGGCCCAAAATGCCAACACGAATGAGGCAGCCGTGACTATGTATAGGACTGGGTCACTAGGCACCTCTCCCACATCTTCCTCTACCACGGGATCTGGACCGGGAGCGCACATGTTCCCCTGTGTAATATTGTGAAGGTCAGTGTTGGCTACGTAGCTGTCCATGCTGAATGAGCCAAGCTGACCAGAGTTTGGTATACATCCCGACAAGTTGTTGTATGCCACAGAGAACACCCCCAAAGAAGATAACTGGGTTAACTGCCAAGGTATCGGTCCACTCAACTTATTGTGGGAGAGGTCCAAGCTTTCTATATCCTTCAGACTGCCAAAGGTTGTTGGGATTGGTCCAACAAATAAATTGTATGACAGATTAAGGGATTTGACATGGTTAAGATTTCCTAGCTCCCAAGGAATTTCTCCATCCAACATGTTTGCAGATAGGTCGATGCCAGACATTGAAACAAAGAAACTGCGGCCGTATGTGTAGAAATTCCCTTTGGTAGCAAAAGTGAAGTACATTAATTCATAGGAAGTAGTGTAGTCGTCCGACACCCACGTAATCTCATTTGCTGGCTGAAAAAATTGATCATTTGTGTCACCTTTAAAAGAGATATTACCGATACAAGCTGGCAGAGAACCTGAAAGCTTGTTATGGGACAAATCTATTATCCTCAGGTACATGAGTCTGCACAGGTTTGGAGTGATCTGCCCTTCAAACTTATTTCCACCCAGTGAAAGTAGCCTAATGTTTTCAAGGTAACCTACCCAATTGACGTTGCCCATGAACTGATTGTGTCTGATATCCAAAGCAATTAGACTTGATGTGTTGAAAAGGGGAAAAGAGATATCGCCAGATAATGAGTTCCCAGTAAGGTTAAGAAAATTCAGCACTATGAAGCAACTGTTTGGTACAGACCCTGTAAGGTTGTTGCGCGACAGATCTAAAAGGTGAATTTCTGTGAAGCCACAAATGTGTTGGTCAATTTTGCCGGTTATACGGTTGCCAGCAAGATTCAGGACTCTCAAATAAGACATATTCCAAAATGACACATTGAGTTCGCCAGACAGCTGGTTATCATGCAAATCAATGACTCTTACTAACTTTCCTGCCAGATCATGAGGCAATGTCCCTTTAAATTTGTTACCATCCAAGCGCAATTCATATATATTGGACAGATTATTCATCCCACCAAAAATCGGACCACCAAGCTTGTTGTTTGAGACCTTCAAGACGGATAGCTCCGGATAATTAGTAAAAACACAAGCTGGAACCTCCCCAGAAAGTTTGTTGTTTGATAGGTCTAAATATCCGATGGAGCTGATCTCGCACATTGACGTTGGTATGTGCCCAAACAAGTCATTAATAGAAAAATCTAGATCATACAAAACTGGAAACATTGAGCTGAGGTTGGCCGGCAGCTCTCCTGTGACATGGTTCATGTGTATGTCGATATGGCTGAGAGAAGATTGGGTATGCCAAATTGGGTCCAGGGATCCAGTTGGCGAGTTATTCCTAAGATTTAGATCCTGTAGTGTCGCTTCCTTTGTAAATAACCAATTTGGCATGCTACCTGATAAGTTATTGTTGGACAAATCAAGCACCTTTAAGTGACGCTGTGTGCCTAAAAATTCTGGTCTTGAAATAATGTTCTTGTCAAGATCACAACCACAGAGCAATAACTGTTTCAACTGGAACGGAGGTGTCCATCCAGGAATATTGACGTCAATAACTAGTTTAGCATTGCCTGAAAGATCTATCTCTTCAAGTTTTGTGAGGTTTCCAAGCCAAACGAAAGCAAGTCTACCACTCAGATTGTTTTGGGAGAACCGAAGACTCTTAAGCGACAATGAAAGGTCCGAAGATGGATTTATTGGAAATGGTCCTTCAAAATAATTAGTTGAGAGATTTAACTGTTCAATATGTGGAAGCGAAAACAAGAATGTTGGGATGTTTCCGATGAATTGGTTGGAACTCAGATACATCTCTCGTAGGTTCTGTAGACTTTCAAATGCTGTGAATATAGGAAGATCTTGTAAGAATTAGAAATGCTGGCAGCATGTTTTTAGTAATATACGTGGAAAATACTCAATATGTACCTTGTCCAGTCGGAAGAGCTCCACTCAAATTATTATATGAGAGATCTAGGGACTTCAGATGAGGAAGTGCAAATAATGACGCGGGGAAAGATCCACTGAATTGGTTCTTACGCAATTTCAAGTTCCTGATGCTTTTAAAGGCTGTGATGCATGGAAGTAGCATAATGTTTACAGGTAGCACAAACTCAAGTATAAACATGGAATCTCTTTTCAAATAGTTAACTAGTTTTTTTACCTGTAACTGGGAGATTTCCACTGAGGTTATTATAGCTGAGATCTAACACTTCAAATAAAATTGGTCCAGAGGATGAACTGATTGGAATATGCCCACCGAAGTTATTTATGGAGAGATCTAGGATCTTTAGATGAGGAAGTGAGAATAATGATTCCGGTAGGCTTCCGTTGAAGTTACTCCAGGACATATTCAATATTCGCAAGTTCCTAAGATTTTTAACAGCTGCAAAATGTGGAGGGACATATGAGAATGAACCTCTACCTTACTACTAATACCATAAGCAGTAAAATTTTGTACCTGCGTCCGGAAGACCTCCGGTCATTCTGTTACCACTGAGAGTTAAGACTTCCAGTGAGACAATTTCTCCTATAAATTCCGGGAAACCCACTTCCCACATAGTGTCACTGAGGTTGAGATAACGAAGCTTGGCTAGTCCAACAAACCCTGCAGGTGTTTTTGTTTGTGCATATATGAGAATAAGAAGCGACTACACACACAAAGTGTTATAAGAGAATTTGGAGCACGTGCGTACCTTCCGAGCTTAGTGAACACTGATAGTTGTAAGATAGATCTAGGTACTGAAGCTCATGGAATGCAGAAAACACTGTAAAGTTTAAATACCAACGATCGTCTACATCCATCGTGAAATATACAGAGGAAAGGTCGAGGTGAGACACTCGCTGTGTTGTATTGTTGCATTTCACACGCTCCCACGAGCAGCAGTCATCACCATCCTTCCCCCATGAATCAAGCGCAATCGGGGAATGCGCTCTTATCAGAGAAGACCGGATGTCCAGCAGAGCAGCTCTCTCCTCCACGAAGCAGCCAGAGGACAAGGTAAGCATGGAGTGCAACAAGAGAAACAGCGTCAAAGACAATGATCCCCATGGCAACCAGCTACCCATATCTGATAATAAGTTTTTTCCTCTCCTGTCTGTGCTCATATAAACTAGCGTTGGGCTGTAGTGGATAGACCTTGAGAGAAGAATGGTGAGCAGTCTTAACACTCTGCTGCAGATTCCTAACTTGGTAGTATCAATTACTGCTAGGGATATGCAATGCAAGCCCAACTTGGCGGCGCACATGGTGAGTCTACTTGGACCAAGACTTCAGACTTTGAAAATATATTGTCATGCACTGACAGGTGGATGGCGAATTAGTCACAGACGTCTAGACTTTTGCGGTTCTAACAACATCATATGTGGACTTCCGCACACACAAAAGGAAAAGATGACTCGACTTTCGCAGTTCTGACAACACCAGATCGAAATTTCAGAAACGACATCAGCAAGATGTGCTTGGAAATAGCAGCCGAGAAGAGACTGGTCGAGCATGAATACGACTTACACGAGCAGTGCTCCGTATGGCAGCTCGGCGCCATTTCGACACCGCGGCCATGGCCCAGCCGAAACCCTTGCGCCGTCGTCCACATCACGCCAGAGCCGCCACCTAGCCTCCCGCGGCCGCAGCCTGCGTCCCGGGCGGGGACCGAGGAAGGCGTGCGAGGACTAGGCCCTGGGCAAAGATGTGTGCTCGGTGCTCTTCCCGGATTTCGTCACTTGCAGGTGCGTCCGGTCGCCGCCGTCGGCGACGACGGCCGGGAGGGACCCTCGCTCGCCGGGTCAGTAACAGGGCCGGCTAACTCACCTCCCCGGGCCTGCTATGGCAAATCGTAGTTGTTGGGCTGCTTCCGCCACTAGGACCCCGCCTTCTGACTTTTGCTGAGCTGTAGCGCTGCCTCGGCCCATAAAACTGATACAGCCCTTTGATTTTCCCCCTTTTTTCTTCTATACCTTCCTATAATCAAGATACTACCTCCGTTCCCGTGAATAAGGCGTATTTAGTTTTTTTAAGACAATACTTTTACCAAAAATTACTCGATTAATATATTTGATTTATGTGATACAAAATCACTATCATAACAAAGTACTTTTAAATACGAATCTAGTGACACACAATTTTATATCATACTCTCTCCATTCCATATTATAGTACGTATAGATTTTTTTTTGAAAAGTCAAACTTTGATAAATTTTATAGAGAAAACTGTTTATATGTACAATGTCAAATATATAAAATAGAGAAAAGTATGTTTTTGGTCCCTCAAGTTCTCTAAAAGTATATACTTGGTCTCATAAGATTTTTTTTGGTACATATTTGGTCCCGCAAGTCTCAAAACCAGATAAGTTTGGTCCAAAACCAGATTTTGAGCACGTTGATTGCGTTTGACCGGGTTTGGCCATGTTGACCAGATTTGACTGATGAACAATAAATTCAAGAAAAATAGGAAAGAAATTCAAAAAATCTGAAATTTTGTGACAACCAACATGCTTGTCAAAATCAACATGCTTTTAAATTCACTGGTCATCATTCAAACCTGGTCAACGTGGTCAAACCCAGTCAATGTGCTTAAAATCTAGTTTTGGACCAAACTTATATGGTTTTGAGACTTGAAGAACCAAATGTATACCAAAAAACCTTAAGGGACCAAGTCTATACTTTTGGGGAACTTGAGGGACCAAAAACATACTTTTCTCTATAAAATATGAAACTACATCTTATGATAAATCTAATGATATATGTTTGGCATGATAGATGCAAATGTTTTTATTCACAAACTTGGTCAAAGCTTGTGAGGTTTGACTTTTTTTAAAATCTATATGCACTACATTATGAAACCAAGGGAGTATAACCTTGAATTTATAGAGTAATTATCAGTCAAATGCATGTCTTAAGGAAACAAAATATACTTTACTTTTAAGAATGGAGGGAGTATATAACATGCCCAAAGGAAATTGTTTTTGAACTGATTGTGTCTGATATCCGAAGCAATCAAACTTGTTGTGTTGGAAAAAAAAAGAGATCACCAGATAAGAAAATTCCCAGACAACAGTTTAAGAAAATTAAGCAACAAAAAACTACAGTTTGGTACAGATCATGTAAAGTTGTTGCTCCATAGATCTAGAAGTTTAAGTTCAAGTCCTGTGAGATTACAAATCTGTGGATGGATTCTGCCGATTCTATGGTTGCACTATTCAGGTACCAAATGAGGCAAATCAGGCTGATACCAGCAAACACATATTGAGTTCGTCGGACGATTTCATTATCGTGCAAATCAAAGACCATTAAAAATCTAGTCAGTCCAAAAAGAGCACGAGGCATCACAAGCTTCAAATTGGTTATCATACAGGTGTAATGGGCTAGATTTATCATCCCACCAAAAATCACACCACCAGCTTTGTTGTTTAATAGCTTCAGAAGCCTTTTTGTAGAGTCTTCTGCACATAAGCATATAAGCCCGGGAGGTTCTGAGAGTATAGCCCCCAGCTCTGGTTACCCTGCACTGTCACATCTGTACCAGCGATTTTAAGCTGAGATACCATGTGGCCAGCATCTAGTTTATCACTCCGTAAATATTTCGATTTCATAAGGCAGTTCAGAAACCACGTCTGAATCATAGGCTTCTGAGTTCTGATGAAGATATGCTGTTTCCGTACCTGATTCTGTGAATAAAGGATGACAGGTAATGCCCCATTTCCAGAGTAAAATGAAACTTCAGAGAGCGATCCACCTTCCCTGTTATCTGCTTAACTGTGGAATGCTCACATCTCTTCAAAGGGAAGCGACACTACTGGTGAATGGACATTTGCTTCAGGGAGTCTTTGCCTTACCTTGCAACATTCACAGAAGAATATCTGTTGAGCATGTAGCCTCGGCGCCCTGGAAAACCGCTCTAAACATCTCATGAGTGCTGATACATTGGAATTTACGCCAACTATGTTTCTCTCAATTGGGTACATGCAGCTTTGGGTTTGCAACACAAGGACAATTGCTATATTCAGAATCCAAAATTTGTGGATGAGAACCCACAATTTGTGCAGGTTACATCTGATCTCAGGATACCAGAAAACACCCGGTGTGCAATGCAACACTCTCCATGGCCTTCTATTATGAACAAAATTAGAAATCAAGGTTATTATGAACCGAGAACACTAACCGAATATTTTGTAAAGACAAATCGCACTCCTGTATAAAAAATGGCTTCCAAAATGGTCATAGGAGATAGCACACATGTTGTGAAAGAAGTCAAATAATGCTAGTTTTCTGGGGCACGTAATGAACATAGATACTTGCAGTGACTTGGTGAACTACCAGTGCAAGTAAAAATATGGTTGTGTACAATTCTTGATCTAGAACATGTGCTTACAGTTATTATTAGTGTTTCTTGTAAAAGCTATACTAGTACTTTGCAGAGGGGTTTCAGCACAAGGGACAATTAAACTTCTTGTTATTATTGTTTCTTGTAAAAACTATACCACCCTATATAATTCCCTGCAGATAAAAGACTCAGCATGAACCTTCAGCATTTGGTGTATATGTAAAGGGCATGCGTGTTAACTAGCAGACAGTTCTGAATTTGTGCAAGAAGTGCAAGGACGCTCTTTACCGATAATTTTCCCTAGTGCTAACCTGTACTAAGCAAGTACACTATGATACATACTCCATAAAACAAATTACAATTGGATTCTACAAACACTTGGAAAATAAGAAAATCATGTGTACAAAATATAACCAAACAAAATCCATTGTTTATTGTTAATATGACATACCCAGAATGAAATTTCGGGAAGTTCTTGGGTGTATACGTACACATAAAGTACATTTGTGACTAACGATTTTTCCTCAGGACCGACTACAGCTTGAACATTACAGACGTCCCGTACGGATGGAATAATGAAAAAGCAACAGTGGCCCAAAATGCCAAAATAAACCCGGCAGCCATGACCATGTATAGGATTGGGTCACCAAACATCTCACACACATCTTCCTCCACTATGGGGTCTAGGCTGGGAGTGCACATGTTCCCCTGCGTAATCTTGTGAAGGTTGGTGTTGGCTAGGTAGCTCTCCATGCCGAATGAGCCAAGCTGACCAGAGTTCGGTATGCATCCTGACAAGTTGTTGTATGCCACAGAGAACACCCCCAATGAACATAACCGCACTAGCTGCCAAGGTATTGGTCCACTCAGCTCATTGTGTGAGAGGTCCAAGCTTTCAATCTCCTCCATGCCGCCAAAGGTCTCTGGGATCGGGCCAACAAAGAAATTGTATGACAAGTTAAGGGATTTGATATGGCTCATGTTTCCTAACTCCCAAGGAATTTCTCCATGCAGCATATTCGCAGATAGGTCGATGCCGGACATTGAAACAAAGAAACTTCGACCATATGTGTACATATTCCCTTTGGTAGTAAAGCTAAAACCTCTCAAGCCATAAGGATTGTCATATGGCTTAAGTGAGTACGGTAAACTCGTTAATACTACCTGGAAAATTTGATCGCCCCTGTCACCTTTGAAAAAGAAATTACCAATACATGAGGGTAATGAACCTGAAAGCTTGTTATGAGACAAGTCAATTATCCTCAAGTGCAAGAGTTCACACAAGTTTGGAGTGACCTGCCCTTCAAACTTATTTCTGCCCAAGGAAAGCAGCCTAATGTTATCAAGATAACATATCCAATGGAGGTTGCCTGCAAACTGATTGTTTCTGATATCCAAGGCAATCAGACTTGATATGTTGAAGAAGGGATAGGAAATATGGCTAGATAAGGAATTCCCAGACAGGTTAAGAAAATGGAGCAACATGCAGCTACAGTTCGGTACCGACCCTGTAAGATTGTTGCTCGATATATCTAAAAGTTCAAGTCTGGTAAAGCTGCAAATTTGTGGATGAATTTTGCCAGTTATATGATTGCCAGCAAGATTCAGGACTTTCAAGGAAGACATATTCCATAATGACATATCAAGTTTGCCAGATAACTCGTTGTCATGCAAATCAATAACCATTAAAGTCCCTCCTGACAGATCACGAGGCACCGTCCCTTCGAATTTGTTACCATCCAGGTACAGTTCCGACGTAATGGACAGGTTATTCATTCCACCGAAAATCAGACCACCAAGCTTATTGTTTGAGACCTTTAAGCTCACTAGCATGGGTTAATTAGTGAACACACAAGCTGGAACTTCCCCAGAAAAATTGTTGTTTGATAGGTCTAAAAACGTCATGAAGTTGATCGCGCACAATGAAGTTGGTATGTGCCCAAAGAAGTTGTTACTAGAAACATCCAGAATCAGCAACCTTGGAAACATTAAACTGATGTTGACTGGCAGCTGTCCTGTGACCTGGTTCATGTGTAAGTTGATAACCTGGAGAAAAGACTGGGTGTGCCATATTGGGTCTAGCGATCCAGTTAGCGAGTTATTTCCAAGATATAGTTCCTGTAGTGTTGCTTCCTTTGTAAACAACCAATTCGGCATGCTAACTGACAAGTTATTATTGGACAAATCAAGCACCTCGAAATGACGCTGTGTGTCTAAAAAATGTGGTTCCGCAATAATGCTCTTGTCAAGGTCACAACCAGAGAGCAATAACTGTTTCAGTTGGAAAGGGGGTGTCCATCCAGGAATATTGACATGGACAACTAGGTTAGCATTGCCTGAAAGGTCTATCTCTTCTAGTTTTATGAGGTCTCCAAGCCAAATGATAGAAAATCTACCACTCAATTTGTTTTGGGACAATCGAAGACTCTTAAGTGACAGTGAAAGATTCGAAGATTGATTTATAGGAATTGGTCCGCTGAAGAAGTTTGATGAGAGATCCAACAGTTCAATATGTGGTAGAGAAAACAATAATGATGGAATGTTTCCAATGAATTGATTGGAACTCAAAGACAATTCTCGCAGGTTCTGGAGATTTTGAAATGCTAATGTTGGAATGTTTCCGCTGAATTGGTTGGAACTCAAATACAACTGCCGTAGGTTCCGGAGATTTTCAAATGCTGCGAATAAAGGAAAATCACGCAACAATTAGAAAGAGTGGCAACCTTTTTTAACCATATAAGCGGGAATGCTCATTATTTACCTTGTTCAGTCGGAAGAGGTCCACTCATGTTATTACCATCGAGATGTAAGGCTTCAAGTGGAACTTGTTCCAAAGAAAACTTAATAGGAAAACCTCCCTCAAAATGATTGTATGAGAGATCTAGGAACTTCAGATGAGGAAGTGCAAGTATTGACACAGGGAGAGATCCACTGAATAGGTTGCTACCCATATTCAAGTTCCTGATGTTCTTAAAAGCTGTGATGCATGCAAGAAGTATAATTATTACAGGTACCACATGAACAGAAAGTATGAAACATGAAGTCATGAAGTAAGAAAATCCTGTTTGTTTACCTGTAATCGGGATAATTCCAGTGAGGTGATTATCGCTGAGATCTAATACTTCAAGGGAAATTGGTCGTGATGACGAACTAAGTGGAATATGCCCATCGAAGATATTCTCTGAGAGATCTAGGATTTTTAGGTGAGGAAGTGCAAATAGAGATGCCGGGAGGATTCCGTGGAGTCTATTCATAGCCATATTCAATTGTCGCAAGTTTCTAAGATTATTGAAAGCTGCAAAGGAATAGGGATGCGAGAAGGTTAAGGATATATATGAAATGTCAATCTTGACCTCAGTACCTACTATAAGAAGAACAGTAAGTACCTGCATCTTGAAAACCTCCAGTAATGTTGTTGTTGTTGAGAGCTAAGACTTCCAGTGAAACACATGCCCCGATAAATTCCAGGGAACCCCCTCCAAGCGAAGTGAGACTGAGGTCAAGGTATCGAAGCCTGGGTAGTCCAATCAATCCTGCAGTTGTTTTTGTTACAGCTACAAGAATAAGAAATGACCACACATATGTATTGTTCTCAGAGAGAGTTTGTAATCCAAACGTACCCTCAAAGCTTAGCGAACAGGGAAAATTGAGTGATAGATCTAGGGACTGAAGCTCGTGGAATGCAGAAAACACCGACAAGTTTAAATACCAACGATCACCTACATCTGATGCATATACTAAGGAAAGGTCGAGATGAGTCACTCGTTGGGTGGTATTGTTGCATGTCACAGTCTTCCACGAGCAGCATTCATCATCATCGTGCCCCCATAAATCAGGTGAAACCAGGGAGTGTGCTCTCCTCAGTGAAGACCGGATGTCCATCAGGACAGCCCTCTCCTCCACGGAGCAGGCAGAGGACAAGTGAACCATGGACTGTAATAACAGAAATGTGACCAGAGACAATGATCCCCATGGCAAGCTTCTAGTAGTACCCATATCTGATAATGTGCTTTCCCTTCCCCTGACTGCGTACATATATACACACACTTGGGCTGGGCTGTAGTGGCAGAGGGAAAGATGGTGAGTGATTTGAACATTGTGCCGACATGTAGTTTTCATCCGCTAAGATTGACTAGGAGTGCAACCTGGCACTCACAGTCAGTTTACTTGGACCAAGACTTCACCCATCAATCATCATCAACAGATTCTCCACCAAAAGATAATCATCATCCACAGAAAATCTTGTCGAAAATGTATTTCAAAGCATTCTTGAGATACCTCAAAACAGGCTTTCGGTCTGCTTTACAAATAAATCCCAAACGGCATACAAGGTGGTGAGGAAATCCTCTTACAAATGACTGCATATGGTTTCTCTATGAAATCGTAGGGGGGCTCCTCTTTTGCTAAAAAAAAGGCCAAATGACTGCATATATACACTTAGGTTAGACTGCAGTGGCTAGACTAAGGGACGAAAGATGGTGACTGATTTTAAGGTTGTGCCGACATGCAGTTTTCGTCCGCTATGTTTGACTAGGAGTGCAACCCGGCACACAGAGTCAGTTTACTTGGACCAATACTTCACCCATCAATCATCATCCATGGATTCCCTGCAAAAAAAATTGAATAAATAAATAAGGGACGAAATAAACAAGGGTACAAGTTGTCCGGCTTTGGAGTTAAGGGACCAAATCTAAACTCCGGCAAGAATTAAGGGACGAAAAGTATATTTTTCTCATAAATAATTCATTCACGGAAAATCTTGTCGAAATTTCTTCGATAGCATTCGCCAGTTGTGTAAGACAATAAGTTTTGGGAACCAGCACAACCCTCTAGGGGTGGCTTATCTCATTATATATAATGGTTCTGTTACAATACGTACATAGGTACAGAAGCTATACATAGTCTAACACCCTCCCTCAATCTTAGCCACTTTCTAAAGAACTGAGAAGGGTAAGATTGCGCCTACCGGCCTCAAACTGTGGCAGTGGTAAAGGCTTAGTGAAGATGTCTGCAAGTTGATCCTTAGATGAGATAAACTTGATCTGGAGTTGCTTCTGTGATACACGTTCCCGTACAAAGTGATAGTCAACTTCAATGTGTTTCGTTCGGGCATGAAATACTGGATTTGCAGAAAGGTATGTAGCACCGATGTTATCACACCAAAGAATAGGAGGCTGTGGTTGAGACAAACCCAACTCCTGAAGCAAAGACTGCACCCAAATAATCTCTGCAGTAGCATTAGCCACAGCCTTGTACTCAGCTTCAGTACTGCTACGTGACACAGTAGCCTGTTTCCGAGCACTCCAGGCGATCAAATTAGGGCCAAAGAATACTGCATAACTCCCCGTGGATCGCCTGTCATCTAGGCTACCAGCCCAATCTGCATCAGAGAAGGCCGAAAGGACCCGAGAGGAAGTCGGCCGAATATGCATACCAAATGTCAGGGTGAACTGAACATAACGAAGAATGCGTTTAACAGCAGCCCAATGAGTATCTCTGGGAGCCTGAAGATACTGACAAACCCTGTTAACAGCATAAGAGATATCTGGTCTCGTGATCGTCAAGTACTGAAGTCCACCAACAATGCTCCTGTACTCTGTGGCATCCGCAGGAGACAAAAGCTCACCATCAACAGCTGTTATCTTGTCAGTAGACGACATGGGTGTGGTGGTCGGTTTGCACTTCAGCATGCCCGCTCTTTGTAACAACTCCAAGGAGTACTTCTTCTGCGTAAGGACAAGACCAGTAGCACGAGAAGTGACCTCAACTCTAAAAAAGTAGTGAAGCTTCCCAAGATCTTTGACCGCAAAATCAGCACCAAGAGAGCAGACAAGAGCATCAGCAGCATACTGAGAAGAGCTGACAAAGATAATATCATCGACATATACCAAAAGATACATAGTGACTTCTGGCTTCTGTAGAAGAAATAATGAAGTGTCAGCAGTGGACGGCACAAACCCATGAGCACGAAGGGCAGAGGCAAGGCGGGCATGCCAGGCACGAGGAGCTTGCTTCAAACCATATAGTGCTTTGGAGAGACGACAGATATAGTCAGGACGATCAGGATCAGAGAAACCAGGCGGCTGTTTCATATAAACCTCTTCCTCCAAAAAACCATGTAGAAAAGCATTCTGCACATCAAGTTGACGAAGTGACCAACCACGAGAAACAGCAATGGAGAGAAGAAGCCGAATAGTGGTAGGCTTGACGACAGGACTGAAGGTGTCCTCATAGTCAAGACCATGGCGCTGCCGAAAACCGCGAGCAACAAGTCGCGCTTTGTAACGCTCAATAGATCCATCCGAATGCTTCTTCACTTTGAATACCCATTTTGAGTCAATAATATTTATCCGTGGTGGTGGAGGAACGAGAGTCCATGTCTTGTTACGAAAGAGAGCATGAAACTCCTGCTCCATAGCCTCTCGCCAATGTGGAATGCGCAGGGCAGCCTGATATGAGCGAGGCTCAGAAGATGGATCCGCAACAGCAGCAGCCAAACAAGCAGCCAACCAAGCAACCGTACCATCCTTACGTTCCTTAGGTTTGAAAATGCCACTGCGACTGCGTGTATGTGGTCGGGACACAGGAACCACCGAGGTCGACGGAGCAGCCTGCAACGGGCTGGAGGATGGCGACGTTGACGAGTCAGCCGGTGACGAGGAGCCAGACACAGTAGCCTCGGGCTCGGTCGGCGAAGAAGGTCGGCCCACCGGCGAAACCGGCAGAGCAGACGAAGCAGCTGGCGACGCCGGCGTCACAGACCGGGCCGATGGCGAGCCCGGCATAGTGGGCCGTGGCGCGGCCGATGTCGCGGGCCGATCCGCGGATGAAGG